CCATGCTTTGAGAAACTGACTGTAAAACGTGTTAATTATTTCCTATGCGAGGGATTTTATTGGAACTTGGGGCTAATTTCTACCAGCTAGTATAACAGCGCTGATTCTTAAACAAATGACATTGATCTGCCGATGTGTTTTCACTGCTGACTATACTGTAAATTAGAGAAGGGAAAGTCCGTATTGGCAGACTCGTTCTTATTGGCTGAATTCATTATGGACGTGTCAACATCCCTGCAGACACCAGATTACCCCAAAATACTAAATGTTCATTACTCATTAGGAAAATAAAACGGAATTACTTCAAGTGATCTACAGCACTGACAGTTTACTGACTGGAGCCATTAATTCCCAAACACACTGACTGGAAGATAATCACAATAAAATGAAGGGAAGCTCCAATAGTGAATGCTTTTAAAGGGGTTCAAAGGTAATGGATCAATTAAAGTGTTACTAAACCCAGAACCCCGCATTCACTATGTCTGGTCTCCCAAAGTACACACAACATGGAAATGCAAATATTTTAGTAAATATAAGTTGCTAAATACCTTTCTCATCAGCATTATATAGCAGTCTTGTGACTACTATCAGTGTCCAGCAGAGCACTGGCTAAAGCTTGTAGGAGGCGTTTTCATTCTCTCCTGATTGTCCTGTGAGGATGCATAACCTCTGTCTGGACAGTGCTGATTGGCCCTGTGCTGATCGCATGCACTCTCCCAAGACAAAAAAAACTCTCTAGCAATACACAGCAAACAGCATGTGCAGTTTGCCCCCAAGGTTCTGTTCTGTCAGCAGATTGATTGTGGACAGTAGAAGAAGAGGAGGATCAGAGAAGACAGGATCAAACAGCCTTTTTACATAATAAAGAGGATTAACCCCTTAGGTTCCACAGTGAGTATAACAAGCATGCTTTACTGCATAAACAAGATTTTACTACTGTGGGTTTAGTAACACTTTTAAGGGTTAGTTCAACTCTACAGAAACAAATTTAATTGTGAACTAACACTGAACACCCTCCACACCCCCTGGTTTCATTGTACAGTCACTGTGACTGCTGCTAACCAATTAGCATCCATCTATCCCAGGGGTGGGCAAACTTTTTGACTTGAGGGCCGCAATGGGTTCATATATTGGACCCTGGGGCCGGACCAAGAGTAGATGAATGATGTGTATGTGTCATCCATAGTAAGTATAGTAATATTCCCCCATAGTAAGCATAGTAATTAATGCCCCATATAGTAATTCATCCCCCATAGTAATTCATCCCCCATATAGTAATTCATCCCCCATATAGTAATTCATCCCCCATATAGTAATTCATCCCCCATAGTAATTCATCCCCCATATAGTAATTCATCCCCCATAGTAATTCATCCCCCATATAGTAATTCATCCCCATAGTAATTCATCTCCCATATAGTAATTCATCCCCCATATAGTAATTCATCCCCCATATAGTAATTCATCCCCCATAGTAATTCATCCCCCATATAGTAATTCATCCCCCATATAGTAATTCATCCCCCATAGTAATTCATCCCCCCTATAGTAATTCATCCCCCTATAGTAATTTATCCCCCATAGTAATTCATCCCCCATATAGTAATTCATCCCCCCTATAGTAATTCATCCCCCCTATAGTAATTCATCCCCATATAGTAATTCATCCCCCATAGTAATTCATCCCCCATATAGTAATTCATCCCCCATATAGTAATTCATCCCCCATAGTAATTCATCCCCCCTATAGTAATTCATCCCCCATATAGTAATTCATTCCCCACATTAATTCATCCCCCATATTAATTCATCCCTCATATAGTATTTCATCCCCACAGTACTATTCCCCCCCAAGTAGTAGTAAGCCAAGTCCCCCCTGTGTCAATTCACTTACCTTTGCTCCGCGCGTTCCTCTCGCCGTGTTCCCGCGCCGTTCCGGTCTTCAGGGCGGACTGTGAGAGGAGCCTAGCTCCCCTCCCCTCATGTTCGTCAGGCTGCCCCGCCTACACACATCCTGACAGCCACATCCGCGGGCCGGATTAAAAGGTCCGCCGGGCCGTATACGTCCCGCGGGCCGTAGTTTGCCCATTGCTGATCTATCCCCTGCCAGAAGCGATGATGGAAAAGAGGGAGAAGAGCGGGGGTTTCAAATCCCCAGACCACTTGATCGGCTGATAGTTCAGGGTTAAGTACAACAGGGACAAGGGGTTGGGGTGTGGGGGGGAGGTGAGGTGAGGTGTTAGTTCACCTTGTAGTTTTTTTCTGTAAAGGTGAACAATTTAAAATAAATATGTAACTAGCACAAGCAAATGTACACTATATTGCCAAAAATATTGGGTCACCCATCCAAATCATTGGATTCAGGTGTTCCAATCATCTCTATGGCCACAGGTGTATAAAATCAAGCCCCTAGGCATGCAGACTGCTTCTAAAAACATTTGTGAAAGAATGGATTGCTCTCAGGAGCTCAGTGAATTCAGGCGTGGTACCGTGATAGGTTGCCACCTGTGCAATAAGTCCATCCGTGAAATTTCCTTGGTACTAAATATTCCACAGTCAACTGTTAGTGGTATTATAACAAAGTGGAAGCAACTGGGAACAACAGCAACTCAGCCACCAAGTGGTAGGCCATGTAAAATGACAGAGCGGGGTCAGCGCATGCTGAAGTGCACAGTGCGCAGAAGTCGCAAACTGTCTGCAGAATTAGTAGCTAAAGACCTCCAAACTTCATGTGGCCTTCAGATTAGCACAACAGCGTGTAGAGAGCTTCATGGAATAGGTTTCCATGGCCGAGCAGCTGCATCCCAGCCTTACATCACCAAGTGCAATGCAAAGTGTTGTATGCAGTGGTATAAAGCAGAGCTGTGGAGACCTGCTCTCTGGAGTGACCAATCACGCTTCTCTGTTTGGCAATCCGATGGACATGTCTGGGTTTGGTGGTTGCCATGAGAACGGTACTTGCCTGACTGCATTGTGCCAAGTGTAAAGTTTGGTGGAGGGGGGATTATGGTGTGGGGTTGTTTTTCAGGGGTTGGGCTTGGCCCCTTAGTTTCAGTGAACGGAACTCTTAAGGTGTCAGCATACCAAGACATATTGGACAATTTCATGCTCCCAACTTTGTGGGAACAGTTTGGGGATGGCCTCTTCCTGTTCCAACATGATTGCTCACCAGTGCACAAAGCAAGGTCCATAAAGACATGGATGAGCGAGTTTGGGGTGGAGGAACTCAACTGGCCTGCACAGAGTCCTGACCTCAACCCGATAGAACAGCTTTGGGATGAATTAGTGCGGAGACTGTGAGCCAGGCCTTCTTGTCCGACATCAGTACCTGACCTCATAAATGTGCTTCTGGAAGAATGATCAAACCTTCCCATAGACACACTCCTAAACCTTGTGGACAGCCTTCCCAGAAGAGTTGAAGCTGTTATAGCTGCAAAGGGTGAGACAACTCAATATTGAACCTTACGGACTAAGACTGGGGGGCCATTAAAGTTCATGTGCGTGTAAAGGCAGGCCGACCAATACTTTTGGCAATATAGTGTACATATATAATAGTCACAGTCAATGTAGGAACTAGCCAGATATTTAATACAAAAGCTGAGTAAGCCGTTACTGTTTCAGCATCCAATACTGGGAGGAGCTGAACATACATTGCGTGCTGTACATAACAGACCGCTCCAAACAAAATACTTAGTAAGCAAAGTATGGCAAAAATCAATACTATGTTTAGATTTTACTGACCAGCATATGCAGGTTTACAGAAACAACTTCACAAGCACAATACAGCACATTGTAATGAACAGCAATACAATACTCCTCTCAACATAATTTACATGCATGCACAAAATATAACAGCATGCACAGACACATACCCAACAAAATGATCCATTCACTAAGGAATATTGAAGGCAACACTTTCATGATGCTGTTTCATCAATTTTATACAATTAAAAATGGTGCTTGCAAATTACTGAAGATTTTTGCACACATCAGCAGAGTATACCACATACCTGTTACAGTATTACTTGTTGTAATATTTTGTAGGTAAAAGTCAGTCCAGACATATTTATCATAGAAGATGTAGCTACTTAAAGTGAACCTGGTAATCGCCTGTTTATTAACAACTTAAGCTCCTGAAGATCCACTTCATGACCAGGCCATTTTTTGCTATTTATCACTAAACTAATTTAACTGCCAATTTCACGGTCATGCAACGCTGTACCCAGACAAAATTTATATACGTTTTTTCACATAAATCGTTTCATAAATTTTTTTTCACATAAATCTGTCTTTTGGTGGTATTTGATCACTGGGTTTTTTTCATTTTTGCAATATAAACAAAAAAAAGACAGAACATTTTGAAAAGAAAACTATTTTTTACTTTCTGCTACAAAACATAGCTCATAAAAAAAAATTAAAAAAACAAATTTCTTCCTAAATTTGTCCAAAAGGTAATCTGCTACATGTCTTTAAATTGAGAAAAATCCCAAGAAGTGTATATTGATTGAAACAGAGAGATTGTTTCCTCTGTACAGTTCTGTGCTGATTGTCAACACAGAGCTCTGGGCTTTAATTGTACACAGCCGATTAGCAGGTCTCAACCATGAATCATTGACTGGGACTTGCTGACATGCTCCCGCTGTTTAAAATAACAGCACATGTGCCCCCCCCAAAACCCAGAAGCAGGCAGTGACATACGGGTATGTTGCTTTGCCTGTGTAGGCCACCCATCCACAGTACATTGCTGGCAGGTGGTCAGAAAGTGGTTACAGTGGTTGTAAACCCTTACATATACCAACTGAAATGACTAGCTTCAGGTGATACACAAAGATGGAACAATTCTTCCTACATAAGCTGTACCTGTTTATCTGCAGCTCTCTCCTATACAACTCTTCGAAGTTCACAGTCAGGGGCGGGCTGACCATTTGGAAACTCGGGCACTGCCCGAGGGCCCGGGGGGTCAGTAGGGGGCCCCATGAGATGCCCCTGGTACCTTTTTCATAGGCTTTTTTGAGTTTGGGCAAGGGCACAGGGGCCCCATGATCCGCTATTGCCCGGGGGCCCCATGAGTTCTCAGTCCGCCCCTGTTCACAGTTTACATGTTTTTTCATCCTACAGGCAGAATAAGGGTCTGGTATGAAATTAGATGCTTGACATCCATGCCAGACCCTTATCAAGCTCATGTTTTTTAGGGAGAACCTCACACAAGGGAATCCCTGCCCATTTGTTTACTAACTGATAGAAGCAGGTAGGAGCTGTTATACACTGGCAACCTGAACATATGTCTTTCTTTGTAAACATAAATTTTGCTGTAGTAGATTATATACATCATACAGATGCACCACTTCATAGGCAGAATCAGGGCACCCCCAGGCATGTTATTTAAAGGTATTTTGCAATGTTAATATTTCCCTTTGAGTAAGTGGATTCTCTTTCGATACTCACATTTGTCTGTAATGTAATGCTGTGATGCTTTCAGACGAGATGTCAATATCCCAGGAGATGCACTCATTAAAAGTTATAGTACTCTGGTTTATTCTCAGGGAGCTTTGGTGATCAGAGTGCTTTTAAGAGTCATTTAAGTCATTAAGTTCTTTTTTTTTGTATTTATGAGCCAGGATATGCCCAATTGGCTCTCTTTTGTGATATTCAAGGTTAAATGTCAATAAAAAGAAGTTGTAAAAATAGAAAAAAGTATTGCCCTTTAAGCATTAATATAATCGCTGCTCCCCACCAAACAGAATTTAAATTTTTTTTTTTGCTTTGGTACATATTCCACAAGGCAGTGCCCAACCTCCCATGCCATTTGTTTGACAATCCTATTAGTTTAGAACAGGATTCTCAACCAAGCTTCCATGGAACCCTAGGGTTCCTCCAGAGGTTGCTTGGGATTCCTTGCAATGACCAGTTTTTGCCTCTCAGATACGTTCCCACTGACACCATTGTTCTTTTTAGCTATCTGTAAGGGGGAAATCTTCCCAATGTCTTCCCAATGACCATCAGTATAAGGACCACTATTTCCACTGACCATCACACTAATGTATCATGAGTTGCGGATATAGTAATTTTTAGAAGGGGTTCCCTGAGAATGGAAAGTTATTTCAACGGTTCCTCTGTGTTGAAAAGATTGAGAAAGCCTGGTCTAGAAAATGGACATTACTGTTTAAAAAAAAAAACACTGTTGCCTGTGTTTTCTCTACCTCCTGTACTGCCCATCTCTAGTTGGATCTAAGCCTGTACACTGTATTACTTTTTTGAATTATAGCCAATATTTATCTCCAAGGGAATTTTACTGACTGAAAAAAAGGAATAAGAAGAAGTTGCAGTAAACAGCAAGTGAATGACTTTGCATTCAAATATGAAGCCATATTTTTATACATATATATTGATGAACTGAGCAATAGCGCTGCTTTAGAAAATCCTTTCAAACGGTAATGCAGGAAGAAAAAAAAAACACTAAGGCGAGAAAATCAAGTTTATAATAAAATGCATCTATTGAGGCAATTTCAGAAAATAGCTGGAAAAGAAACTCATTTTGATCTTAAGCATCTTTGCTTGAACAAGGGAAGAACACTCAGCGTTTTTATCCTGTGTGCTGTATCGTAATTTAGGAGAGTGACAAAAGGAAAAGATAAAGCATATTTTAGCGTACATATTATAATAATATATCAAATTTGGCTACTTTTTTTTATCTGGTAGTTTAATGCCTCTCACACTGTACTTTGATAGCCGGTAAAGCAAACTAAAGGTTTTTTTTGTTATGTGTTTATTCAGAGTTTCAAATGAATATTCTAAAGAGATGAGCAACAGCCAGACAAGAAATAGTTTAAAGTGAACCTGTGTTTTTTTGCACAAGTCGCTGAAGCGTTCTTTCCCCACCAGCATATACTTACCTCTCCTTCCATCCCTCACCACTCCATCCAACTTTTGGGAATCTCAAAAAGGTGAACTTATATAGGCCTCCTTACCTGCCCAATGAAACAGTTGGGCCAATCATAAAGCACCTGCCGTCAAGTGGGGAGAATGCAAAGCGTTCTCTGATTGGACAAGATGGAGAGACAGGGATGTGACATCACAACGTCCAACTCATCCAATCAGAAAACACTTTGCATTCACTGAAAAAATGGAAAGAGTTCTCTGACTGGTGCACGTGCCAAGTGGGTGACCACCTGTGTGCAATGTAAGCAGTATGGCAGCCCCAAGGTATGGGAGCCGGAAGCTAGCAGCAAACACTGTAGTAATGATGCCAACACACATGTATACTTACATTGGTCTAAGTCAGACCAGTGTAACTATGTAAATATTGCCATACCTGGAATTCAGCTTTAAGCATAGGTGTCCAAGGTATGTCTGAGCCAGTAGAAGAAGTACATATCAGACTTTCTTTGTCAGTGATTGACAGCCTCAGCTGTGCATGTTCCCCTATAAGATTGTGTAGAGAAGAGTGTGTCCATTCCATTCACTCAGGTCTCAGATTACACTCAGCAAGCTTAGGTAAATTTAAATCTTGGCTCACTGTAATCAGTGTGGCTGTGTGTGATTATTTAGGTCAAGTCTGTGTTTCACAGGCTGCAGGTTTGACTACTCCAGAACTTTCTGAGTCATTCTGGGACATACTGTAGGTGTGAAACAAGGCAAATGGGCAGCATGAATATTTACGCTGTCTCAGTCAACCTCTGTGAGAGACTACACAGATGGGTGCTTGGAAGGTGTATAAATAGTCTTAAACCTGTGACAGAGTCTTTTTGTCTCTGAGGAGGGAATCACGGCCTAGGGGGGTTGTTTGCCCCCTTGGCAAGCATGTCATGTGTCTTTGGTTCATAGAGGTATCAGCTGGGCGAGCTTGGGAAAGCTTATTTTGCTGAAAGTTATTGGAGTTAAATGAGCGGTTTTCGTCTAAGGATCTAGTCTCGTATAACTTGGAGAAAGTGTCTGGAAGATATTGGAAGGAGGCAGCCAGTAATGATTTGTAGTAACCTCTAGCAACCAATCAGTGAGCGGTAAGGATGTGCAGAAACCTGTAGCAACCAATCAGCAAGCAGAAATCATGTGCTGTAACCTCTAGTAACTAATCAGTGAGCTGTAATGTGGACTGTAACCTCTAGCAGCCTGTCAGTGAGTGGTAATGATATGCTGTAACCTCCGGCAATCAAATGCAATTGCTGCCTGATCTGCTGCAGTAAACTGATTTTGAGTCTAGTTGCTATACTGTATATCACAGAGCAGGTGGAGAGCAAAATTTAATGGGGGGGGGGGTGGCACAAGAAAAACTGTTTGCCCAGCGTCCAATCAATATTAAAGACGGCCCTGTGGAGTATCCCAGTTACCCTACTCCTATCCAAGTTCAAGTTCTACAATAAAGCATCAGAAAAGTATACCCCCTAAACTGAGATAAAGGAGTGACTGTGTACCTGGCTACAGGGAGATTAAGGGTAAAGACCTAAGGGACCTCTATTGCTGCAGCCTCCTCCTGGCGTACCCAATATTAGACAAGACAAAGGGAAGGTGTTGCTTCTCCAGGTAAAGCTCTAAATCACCATGTCAGACCAGCAGTCTCCATCTGCTCATGTATGGACATCCAAAAAAACAAAATGGCAGCAACAAGGTGAAATTAAAAAATAATCTTCTTTATTGTATGCATGGAGTTCCACTTAACCGTAAACAAGGTGAGGAGCTGGGAAGCTCAAAATTCAGATGTTGGATTGTTACTGAAAATAAATTTTTTCAATGCCACATAATATTTACACGAGTTGTACTGTAATCTACTCATCCGTAGTTTATAAGGAAGGATTGCTGAAACCACCCAGTCGTCTGCTCAAGTAACTTTGCATTAAAATCTCTGGCTTACCTCGTACTGCTATCTAAAACTTAGACTGAAGGTGAAATGAGTGGAATTTGAGTCGTGAATTGATTTTATTTGTTGCCTGGAGCTGCTTTTTAGATTATCCTAGTTTTGTTTTACTCTTGAGGCTGCTTAAAGATTCACATAAAAATAATGGTAAAGGGAATTTCAACGCATACACATGCATTATCCGTATTTGTTTAGTACAGAAATTTGAGGCTAACGGTAAAAGTTAAGTTTTTGTCTAGTTTCTATAAAACTATAGAGCAGACATATAAAGAAACAAATGTGACATTTACTGCACATTCGTTAGAGAGAAACGTACTGTATATATGGACATTAAGGTTCCATTCAGACCTATTCGTGATTTATAAAGCAGAAATCAGTGTCACATATGGAAGTGAATGTGCTGCCCTGTGCACGTTTGTTGCCCAAAAGAACCTCCTGCTCCTTTTTGAGTGACAAGCTTAGTGCAATTTTTAACTGTACGTTTTGCTGTGATTTCCGCGCAATTCTGTCCCGTGACCAACTATGGGGCACTATTCCTCCCACTAATACCAATGATGGGGCACTATTCCTCCCACTGCCACCAATGATGGGGCACTATTTCTCCCACTGCCACCAATGATTGGGCAGTTTTCCTTTCACTAATACCAATGATGGGGAACTATTCCTCCCACTATTATCAATGATGGGGCACTGTTATTCCCACTGATACCCATGATGGGGCAGAATTCCTCCCACTGATATTAATAATGTGGTGCTATTCCTCCCACTGATGCCAACTATGGGGCATCATTCCTCCCTCTAATACCAATGATGGGGTACTATTCTTCCCACTGATACTTATGATGGGGCACTATTCCTCCCACTGATACCCATGATAGGGCACAATTCCTCCCACTGCCACCAATGATAGGGCACTATTCCTCCCACTGAGACCAACTATGGGGCACTATTCCTCCTACTAATACCAATGATGGGGTGCTATTCCTCCCACTGCCACCAATGATTGGGCAGTTTTCCTTTCACTAATACCAATGATGGGACACTTTTTCTGTAACTAATACCAATGATGGGACATTGTTTACTCCTAGTGATGCCAGGGAAATTTTCTACCACCACAGGCCACAGTCCAGTCCCCCTAAAGTGTGAAGAACAGTAAGCTGGCCCTTTGTTTAGAGACTGGAGATCCCTGTTTTACAGGCTGGGTCTCTGAATTTTTCACATAGTGACATGGTC